ATAGTGAACTAAACGGAGTTCCGTTTGATTCACTATTTTAATATTTTTTAGAATAATTTTGAAAAAAATAAAATTGGTTATCTTTACGAGAAAAGTAATGATTAATGTTTTGATATTGAATTAGATTTTGAGAATATTGAAACGAATACATTTTTTTATTTTGGGGGGTTAAAATGATTATAATGAAGGGGGGGGGGTTGATGAATTCCAATACCTTCGTGGTTTATATGATATTTCATTAAACCCCAGGGGGTAGAATATTGAAGAATATACGTGTCCCTTTTTAACCCCCCAAAATTAAACAAATATCAAAAAACCCTTAAGATGTAAGAAATCACCATAACTTCTCCTCAAAATTGAAAAAATCATCACTTACTTCCTTTCACCGTGAAATCTAATGGTTAAAATGGACATGATCAAAGAGGTAAGTGATGTTTTATAAATATGAGGGGGTGGTATAATGAATTCCAATACTTTTGTGGTTTAATATATTCATTAAACCTCAAGGGGTCAGAAATATTAAGCCATATGTATGTATGAGATGTATGATTAAGAGGGACCCACCTCTTGATCCAACCGTAGCCATGGCTTCCCATCACTAACACATCAACGCCCAACTTCTCTACCGTCTCGCAAATCACGTCCCTTGGATCACCATTCTCTACTCTCGCCTCCACCTTAACCTGACCCAGGGCAAATCCGTCAAACCAGTGTTCCAAACTTTAATGACAAAAAATAATACCACATCACTGTTCTGTTCTCTACATATCTTCCGGCTTCTCTATCACACGATCGGCCACGTCATTACTGTACTTATTAATAGTGGCCATGATATCAGACGAAAACATACCCTGAAACACAACCAAAAATTACAAAACCACCACTGACAAGTAAAGAAATTGTCTACCAAAAAAACCCTCAAAATCTACAAAATTACCTGTGCCATCTAGCGCAGTGTAGACAGCTCTGGAGGCTTGGCATAGAGAAGTATAAGGGTATCCTTGGAATTTTTGGTATTACGTCTTGAGGCACCAAGTCAGGAGCATACAAGCTCTCCTCACCTTCATCAATTGCCACAAGGATCCTCCGCTCTTTTGCTGCCACGTCTGCCATTGACCGAGAAGTAGTTTGATCGGACGGTTAGAAGTAGCAAAGCAGAATTATATCTAGCTATGTGATTTTGAGTTATGAAAATTGGGAGAGAGAGTGAAGCAGAGGTGGGTATTTATAGAGTTGGGTAAACCCTTGGCGGTTTGGGGTTGGACTTCCGGGTTTGGTGGTTTTTATTAAGTAAACCCATGGGCCATAGACGTGGGGTCTCATTGTCATTGAATTGTTGTTTGTAAGTGGAAAAGTCAGATGGCCCTCTAAGTTTGTGACTTGTTTTTAGATTAAATAATATTATATGAAGATAAGATGAAAGTTACGTCAAGAGACGAAATTTTCTTGTTTATAGATTTTTTCCGCTGACTTAAAATTGAAATGTGAATTTCAATCCTTGAATTCGCTTTCCAAGTTAGAAATTTACCAAATCTTTTGAAAATACCTCTATCTTTGTGGTCGAATGACAGACTTTTTAACTATTAGGATTAGTTATATCTAGAGATAATTATTATATTAATTTTTTCATAATGAGATTCGTGTCAAGAAGAGAGTTGGCTATTATTGTATTTGCTATTGACGTTAACATCTCTCGTAATAGAATGATCTTACCATTGATGTGAAATAAAATTTGTATCATTATTCATCTATGAATGATTTTTTCTACTTTTGAAATCCATAAAGTATCTTTGAGAAGGACATTGGAAAAATCATTTGAAATTTGACAAGAATTTGTCAAATATATTTGTTATTAAAATAATGTTTCAACTATTTAACAGTAAATTTTCCCATCGGGTATACTCATATGAAAAATCGAATCTAAAACCGTGCATCCATCCATAATATCTTTAATTCATTATAATCATTTGAGCTGCCTACGAATGGGTTCCTAAACCCTAAACATTTCTAGATGTACCCCAAAACATGATTAGGGTATCAAATAGAAGCTAATTTGAAAACTTCTGGCTCTGTTTGGTTCATTATTGGGTAGTTTTTAGAATAATATTTTGAAAAAAGTTAAATTGGGTGGGTATTATGATGTAGAATTTTGAAAATTAACAAAAATACCCCTTATGTATATTTATTTACTAAATACCCCTATAATAAAATATTCAAAGTTAACAAAAACACCCCTAACCCACTCATTAAATACGGACAGCCGGCCACCACCATCGGAGGGTGGTCGGAGTCGATGTATCGGCGTATGACCGGCTGGATTTTGCCGATCGTGCGCCGATATAGCCTTTTCCGGCCAGATCCACCAGAAAAATGCCCGATCTACGGCTAGATCTGGTCATTGACAGCCAAATCTGACCGCATTTGGTCATCAATGACGGCCAAAGATACAGCTGTCTTTGATGGTCAACAATGACCATATCTTGGCTGTTGTTGACGACTGTCTACGGCCTAAGATTTGGTCAGAAAAGGCTAGATCGGCGCATTACCGGTCAGATTCAGCAGTTAGTGCACCATTACACTAGATTCCGGCCAGCTTCCGGCAGTGGTGGCCGGAATTTGGTAAATTAGGGTTGCTGGGGTGTTTTTGTCAATTTTAAAAAAATTGGGTTGTTTAGTTAAATTAATAAATTTAGGGGGTTAAAAAAAGTTGAATAATTTATAATTATATTTTAAAATAGGTGAACCAAACACAAATTTTGTATTAACTTTATTGGATAGTTTTCCCAATATATGTACCAAATGGAGCCAATGTTTGTAGATGATTCTTTTAAAGTTACTAATTAATTGTATTTGATAAAGTAAAAGAGAATTTAAAGATTATATCAACCACCATAGTGATTCAATAATATTAAACAAGTACAAATATACCTTGAGTGATATTTGTGATAATATGAGCATATCATCTTAATTAACTAATAAATTAATAGAATATGTTTACAAAAATCAAGGCTTAATTATCAATTAAAGCATTGATAATGATGAATCTTTGGTTTTAAAAGTTGGATTTTATGTACTAGAGGGGGTCACGTGCCCCCTTAGTGGCTCAAAAGGTAAAGCACAAAGCATCAAAGTGTTTTTTTGTATTTGTTTTTATTTTTATTTCCCTCTCAATTAAAGCATTGAATTTTTTGTTTTTTCAATTTCATCCAAAGATATTTTCCCACCCATATTAATTGGGATTTATTTTTATTCCTAGGACAAAAGCAACGTTACACATTCTGAATAATATGGTGAACAACTTTAACGTATCATGTTAATGAAAGTTGGAATGTATGGAGAATAATGTATGTGATACTATAATATGTATATTAATATTTTACAAAAAAATTTAATCAAATTAAAAACAAGTAAGGGATGACTTATTACCTTAAGTCCTTAGCAACCTTAGAGACTTTTAATTTAAAAAAAAATTAAATAAAAAAGTATCCACATTAAGGTAAAAGAAGAATTAGGCCAAGAGAGACATTTGGGGTTCTTAGAAATTTTTTGATTTCTATACTAAAATCATTGTTAAATTCAATTTAATATAAAGAAAATGATTAATTATGAATTGGAATTTTATTTAATTTCAATTAGCAATTTAACTCTTAAATTATTCATAATAACTAATATAACCATCCATTGAATCTAATTCAATGATAATAATATAAATAACTTTACTACCCTTGGTAGGTGTTAGCCAACCTTAGATAATCAACTCTCTTTGGCTATTTATCCATTCTCCTTAGTTTTTAGGTGTGACCTCTTAAATTTACTGTGGCCTAACCTTGTGCCTACTATCATAGTCTATTTCGATATGTTTCGTCATAACTCTTTATGATCGAAACTCCCACCGATTATGGTAGACATCTAACAATGCTCCATAACCCTTAAATCACAATGAAGATATACTCCAACGAACCCTTTTATAATCATACGCGCTATATAATCAAATCCTTCTGTTGTCTAATCCCAATTATGAATGGATTTATGGTATGTCAAAATCATTGTCTTAATTTTATATCAAATTAACAATCAATATATACGGAACATGTTACCATGAAACAAACTTTCAGGTAACATTTTATATACCCTGGCCGGATATTTCTCTTTTCCAATGTATCTTGACATTTATCTAGGAACTTGATATCAATCTACACTAAGTTAACGGATCCCTTCTTGACTATCATTTGTCTTCACACATAAACAACACATTGCTAAATCAGCTTATTAATACATTACATGATTAGCCTCATGTTTATACATCATATGAACTATACGCATTTATACAAAATCCAGTCGTGATATATCAAGTCTAGAAATTAATAATACACTAGTACAATCTTATGATGCATCATTGACTATATTTTAAATGTCCATGTGATTCATCATAAGTGACCATATTCGATAAACAATTCACTAACCGCTTATCTATGCTAATGCTCTAGTGATACAACTTTTATAATCACCTACATTAATACCATCACATGATATTCAACAGAAGCATTCAGCATGCCCACTATGTAATATTATTATCCAATTAATATTATCTATATAGATAATACTTTGATGATTTTGATCTTTTAAAGATATGTATCATCCAGACTTTTCACATGTAATATATATAAATGAAACAATAAACCACATGTGAAATAAGAACACTTTTTTTTTTATTAATAAAATAAAAATGTATATACAAAAAATATACAAAACATAATACCTTGTAACTGACGACACTATTGGTTCCTAGGGTATACACTAACAGTTAATGCATGTGATACATAATTACCATGTTATTGGTTTGTTTTTTGTGCATATAATCGATGTAGAGAAGACTTTTTTTTTCGATGTTTCAATTTTTTTTTTTAAAACTAAAGTCATATGTGAAATTTTTTTTTCGGTCTATTTGTTCATCATTCATATGTAAATGTTATGTATAAACATGTTATTTTTGTAAGAAAATGGACTTGTGTTATGGTCTTCAAGTTCATGTTCTGGCCGTTGATGATAGTTTCGTTGACCGGAAAGTCATCGAGAGGTTGCTCACAGTTTCTTCTTGCAAAGGTTTGTGTAAGTTCAATTTTTTACACAATTTCGCTTTTCCTTTTGTTTCTTTCTCTGATTTTTGGTGGAATTTACAGTCACTGCAGTTGATAGTGGACGGAGAGCTCTTCAGTTCCTTGGATTAGATGAGGAAAAGAACGCTAATAGCTTTGATGTGAGTGGATTAAGCAATAATTTAACTCCATTTTGATATTCAAATTGAATTTGAGCTGATTGATAATTGTCTACTACTCCAGGGTTTAAAAGTCGATCTAATTATCACGGATTCCTGTATGCCGGGAATGACAGGATATGAATTGCTTAAGAAAATCAAGGTAAAAACTCAATTTATTTTCATTATTTTTCATAATTAATAAAAAAAAAATCGGTAATTCATTACTGAATTGGCTGTTACTTTTGAACAGGAATCATCAACTTTCAGGGAGATTCCAGTTGTGATTATGTCGTCGGAAAACATTTTGGCGCGCATTGATTACTAAGCTGTGGAGGAGGTAATTAGTAATTTTGTCAACATGTTAATTACTAAGCTGTTGACGGTGTGTAAATTTAATTTTCCAAAAGATTACTTTCTCTTTTGAGCGTGTTGTTAAACTATGGTTATTCATCTTGGATTTTGAAAAATAATTCTAATGGCAGATCAAGTATGAGATTTAAACCACTTTGAAGCTATTTACCATATTTGTGGTTTACTTAGAACATTAATGTTGACGCTTGATTTTGGACGTCAACGACTCGCACGTGAGAAGCGCTAAGCGGACTTAGGAATCACACGTGATGGATTCATGAGATTTGAATATGGAGCTGAGATTATATATTTTGCAGAAAATATAAATAAAAGATTGGCAAGAGGGAGTTTTTATAGTGGTTCGGATGCAACAAGCGACTCCTACATCCACTGTTATTTTATTGATCTCTGACTATTTCTATGATTTTGCCCGTAAGGCATATAAAGATGAAGAAATATAGTGTTTTTACAGAGAAAGAAATGAAGCTCCAATCTCAGATCAGCCTCCTCCTTCAGGAAGAGGAGTGCCCATTTATTCACATTTGCACTCAATGTAATGAGTGTTTTGCAAGCTGTCTTGACACATGGAAGGCTCTCGTCCATTCATCTTTTTGAAATGAGATAAAGTTTGTGAAAATATCTTTGGAGATATGGGCTTGGCAGCTGGTACAAAGAGACATTAATTGTGCTAACATAGGTTTGACTTTTGAGGCATAACAATTAAGTTTATAGTGTGTTTAATAAGTTTCAGGGATTAATTGAAGTACGCGCAAGTTAGCCTAGACAGTCCAGTTATCAAAAAAAAAAAAAAAAAAAAAGAAGAGATTGACAACTTTTGGTTTATTAATTTGGATTGATATTTGTAGAGGTAATGGAGTAATTGAAGAGATATACAACAAAATCCATTGAATTAAGACCCACCAATTGATATTTGTAGAGGTAATATGAAATATTGCTATACAATTTGAAAATTTAATTTTACAATAAATTAAATATTGGAATCTCAATTATGGACAAATTAAAGAATTTAAAAAGTTGTTAATGGTTAATCACATACCATCTAATTAAATATTGCCAACCACAAAACCAACAATCACACTACCATTTCCAAAAACAAACAAATAAATCAAAATAAATCTCAGCCGTCAAAAACTCTATCAACGGCTCAAGTTCACCCAATTACTCCAACTACCACCAAACACCAAATCCCAATTGGTCCAACAACACACACGCAGCTCTGCCAGTCAACACTTGCCACCTCAGCCACACTACATACACGTGCCTCCATTTAAACCCCCTCTCCCTCTTTCTCTTTCTCAAATTTACAGGTTAAGTTAGGGTTAGGTTTTGCTGATTTTTACTCGTTTTTCTCTCTCAAAATTCCCCTGAATTCTCGTTTGGGGCTCTCCAATTTTTAGCCTTTTTGATAATTCACCGTTCAAGTTGAAGAACCCATGTTTTTGTTTGATTGGTTTTATGGGATTCTTGCTTCTCTCGGGCTATGGCAAAAAGAGGCTAAGATCTTGTTTCTTGGCCTCGATAATGCCGGTAAAACGACGCTGCTTCACATGTTGAAAGACGAGGTTTAATTTTTATTCCTTCCTTCATTTGGTTTTTATTTTTTTTATTTATATAAATAAATAATAATAATAATAATTATTATTTTTTGTCTTTTGGTGATGAATCAGAGATTAGTTCAGCATCAGCCAACTCAGTACCCAACATCAGAGGAGTTAAGTATTGGAAAAATCAAGTTTAAGGCTTTTGATTTAGGAGGTCATCAGATTGCTCGTAGAGTTTGGAAAGATTACTATGCCAAGGTTTCATGTCTTAATCTTTTAGTATTTTTTAGCTATTATAATTTGTGACATCCTAGAGTGCCGAGATGTAAATCCTTGTGAGGTTACTGGAATAATCTTTTTGATAACGTCATGTTGCGGTGACAGCTGATTGGTGGACGTTTCTGAGCCCACTACCCTGTTACGCTTTGAGTGTGAGAATTGTGAATTGTGTCAAATACCTCATTTGTGTGCATTATTTGTAACTGAAAATTGATGTGTGTTTGAAAATCGAAACTGTTTTAGGAAATGGTTTTTGTTGTCTAATTTGTGTGAGAATTTGCTGCCACCATGATCCCAGATGATAATATGTGTGATTATTCTGATGCATGCGAGATAAAGAGTAAATAATAATGGGAGTTCGCTGATAGCGCCTTTGTATTTTTTACAGGGTTTTCTAATTGTAACTGACCGACCATGTACTCTTACCATGCCATTTTATTAGATGTTTATGAAGATATGATGAATTGGAGTGGAAGCATGTGGTGATTTCCGTTTTTAGATTTTCTATTATGCCTTTTACTTTTTGAGTTTAGAATTTGCTTTCCCGTGATCAGTATTATGATGCATTCTTCCTAGCAAGTGATTATATTTATTAAGAAAACTACAGGTTCATATATACACAAATTTCCTTTTCAGCCAATATGTTTTTATGGCAAGCTTAGTAGGAGTAATGTACAACTAATATGAGACCTTTTTTTTTTTTCGTGAAGGTGGATGCGGTTGTCTACCTGGTAGATGCATATGACAAGGAGAGGTTTGCTGAGTCTAAAAGGGAGCTTGATGCTCTTCTCTCTGATGAGGCCTTGGCAAATGTTCCATTCCTTGTTTTGGGAAATAAGATTGATATTCCATATGCTGCCTCTGAAGATGAGTTGCGATATCACCTTGGCCTGACCAACTTCACCACTGGCAAGGGTAAGGTCAATTTGGGTGACTCAAATGTTCGCCCCCTTGAGGTATTCATGTGTAGCATTGTCCGCAAAATGGGTTACGGAGATGGGTTCAAGTGGCTTTCTCAGTACATCAACTAGAAAAAAAGTAGAAAGTTAGAATTTGCTATATTTTTACTTTTTTCTCTAAATGCTGTCACATACTGAATTGAGTGGGCACAATTTCTTTTGAAGTTAAAGATACTCCATTTCCCTCATCTTTTCCCCTGTGAAACGAACAAACATGCACCGTTCATGCTATGATAAGAATGAGACTTGTTGGATTGATTGATCATTTGTCATGTTAATGAGAGCTATACTGCAAAGTACTTGAATTCATTGTTTTACTCCAGCTATAATTTTACTTTTGTGTACACGGTAACCAACACAGATATGTTTAGGTATGAACCAGGAAGTTGAAGCTTTTAGCTTGTTAAGTATGTTTTGCCTATTGCTGGTGCTAGTTTTAGAGTGGATAAGCTAAGGATAAGTCAATCCCATTGTTGGGTATCAATTCAATGAGATATCTTGTTCATTCTTGGATAAATGAGTGAGATAAAGATTAGCCCTGCTAAAGCCAACTAAATGCTGAATCTAATTTCTGCTGTTCCAGTCAAGGTCAGAGTTATTTTAATACATTGCTTATCTAGTGTGTATGAGGCATACGAAGTTACGAACAGACCTTATGCCAATCCTCCGAAGAAATGCCAAGTTGAAGATTTGACCTTTATGGGTGGGTAAAATGTTCTACATACTACACTAGATCCTCTCAGGAATATAATTAGTAGTTAATGAAACTAAATTACAGGAGTAAAAGAACAATACCCAGAAGGCGTAATTTCTGATAATTAGGTTGGATAATATGAAAAGAGGATCTGCATTCACCTTAACAACAATTGCATTAACAAATGATTACTGGTATATGCATGTAAAAGGGTTATTATTACCCAAACCTCAATAGACATTGAAATATATAAACCACTTCCTGGAAAAGAATCAAAACCCCATCTCGATGCTTAAAACTTTCTGATAATGGTAGGTATGATTTATATTTCATTATCTTTCAAGGATGGATAATAACAATCCGCATGTAAAATTCAATTGCTAATAACTGATCAGGTGACTTGAATTACAAATACATTACATGAGAGTAAATTATTGCCTTTTTTCTGTCTGATTTAGCATTCATCTACATCACTGATTTATGACCATGAAGTAAACAAAACTTTTCGCCACACATCAATTGGTTAAGGCACAAGGAAGCTGATTGGCGGGATCCCTCACGGGTTGCACTGTCGACTGACCTTAATTTTCTGTAAAGAGTTCGAGTGTGAGCATGCTTATCGGGACCTGAAAGATGGTAAACTATGTCTGAGCGGGGTGAAGCCAGAGGAAACTCTGATGGAGGCCCACAGCGATACTGATGTCTAAATCGTTCATCTGACTTTGGTAAAGAAGCGAAAAACTAATCGAACCGTCTAGTAGTTGGTTCCCTTCGAAATTTCTTTTAGGATAGCTAGAGTCCACAGGCGAGTACTATCAGATAAAGCCAATGGATTAGAGGCATTAGGGGTGCAATGCCCTTGATCTATTCTTAAACTTTAAATAGGTAGAATGGTGCAGCTGCGGAATCAAGAGTTCCAAGTGGGTCATTTTGGTAGGTACGGTGATATGAGATGATCAACTAAAGCTATATATATTTTTTGATAGCCAGATAACAGAAGGGGATGTAGCTCAGATGGTAGAGCGCTCGCTTAGCATGCGAGAGGTACGGGGATCGATACCCCGCATCTCCATTTCATTTTCTTTTTTGCTTTCGCAGTCGACAACTTGTAGGTAGGTAGAAGCAAAATCTATTTGACAAAGACAGTCTTCAATATTCAAACACTTCAAATCGGAAAGTTATAAAACTACTACAAAGTTGGTCACTTACACACCAACTTCACTCCATTCATCTCCAACCATAATCTCACATCTGATCAGACTATCAACCAACTTTCTTTTCCATTCTAATCCATGCATTTGTCCTTATCTCTAAGTTTCCTTTTCTTTTCTTGAACCCTATTATATACGTAAGCTTTCACATTTGATTCATTTCTTTTCTCTTCAGTTCACCACCCACATCAGTAATGGCATTCTTGATTTTCCCAAAGAGAAAACTATTCATCTTAACATCCATTTCCATAGCCATACTTAGCTGCTGCCACTCAGGTCATTCATCCTTCTCTTTGTTTTTATCATTACCCTGTTCTTGATTTTCTCCATATGGTTGATTTTACAGATATAAATACATGAACATGCAGGATATGCAGATGAAAACCCAGCTGAACGGGTTGCACAAGCCTTGTGGTGTTTCAACAATAGATTTGTAAGTTAATAAAATAGCAGTTTGTTCCGGACAGATAATTCTTGTTTTGCATTTTTTGTATCTTTTTTACATGGTTTTAACTGGATGATACACAGATTTACAGTGGTTGTGATGAGGCATATAGATTGAACGAGAGTGGAATCTTAAATGTGCCTTTTGAAGCTACTGATTCCTTCTGTCGTGGACCTTGCTTAGCTGAAACACATTATGTGCTGAATTGTGTTGATAGAGTATTATCAAACTTCATCTTCTCCAATAAGGCCACTGTTCGCGACATCAGAACCGCTGTCAATATGGGTTGCAGCTACAGCACCCAAAGAGGCAACTTCAACTGGGCAAGGTATATTCAAGGAGTGACAGGCAGTGCACAGAAAGTTGCCAATCTCAACACCTTCAATACCGCCTTTGCAATACTTGCGGGGACTTGTTTCTTGATGTTATAACTTTCTGTAATGTTAAAAATACTCCTGAGACTGGTTTATGTGATGATATAATATAAAAAATATGCAGACAAATCCATTTTTCTTCTTCTGTGTACATATTACTCTTGTTTAATTAAGCATAATCTTAACATTATGATCATGAAACTGTATATTAACTGAAGGGGCTTTAAACATAACAACTGTTGGCAAACATATTCAGAACCTATTTGATTTAAATCTTATTTTATATTATTTCTGTGTTTTGCAAACGTCAAAAGCTCCTTCAGAACACAGTCTTTTCATTTTCCCACGTTCACTTTCACGGGTTCTTCCTTCTTCACATTCACGGATTCTTCAGTCTTTGGAGTTGACACCACCGCAGGCGTAGAAGCAACAGCCTGAGCAGCTTCATTCTTAGTGATCACCTTCGGCTTCACAAATTCTTCTTTCTTTGAAACTTTCCCCTGAACAGGTGTAGTTTGCATCTTTGGTGTGGAACCACAACTTGAATAGCTATTTCCACAACAACTCTTCCTCTCCATCTTCTTAATCTGCTTCTTTAATTACTCGACAACTTTCTTGAGAACTGATGAGAATATTAGAAGGGAATATTGAGTACTTATAGGAGAGGAGATGAAGTTGGTGGTATTCTTCTTTATTTAAAGTTTGACGAAGAACCCATGAGCCAATTATATAATGAGTGCCATGCATGTACCTCGAAAGCGCACAAATTAATTATATCAATCCTAAACTTTTGATCTTCTAGCTACCTACATAAACTATTATTTCCATTATTCAACATTGGTATTCTAAAAAGCAAGGAAACATTTGCTCATTCTGAAGATTATGAGCATTCACCATTTTTAAGAGTATTTGTCATGTTATGTCCTTCTATAATGAAAATTTTCTTCGATTTTATTATTACATGTAAGATAGCCAGTTCTCTTCCCCTTTAAGTTTAGTATGCATGCAAGATTAAAACATAGTAATTAAACAATGAATTACTTCAGGGACTTGAAAATTCTGCAGAAAGATGGTATACAATAAGTTCTGCAGAAGAATTGGTATGGCTGTAACATCATTATTACACTAATGCTGCTTCTACACTGACCATTATTACAACGATTCGGTTTCTTATAATGGTTGATTATACTGTACAATATACATAGCATCATTATATGAGGGGACTTCCACGAAAACCGGATTGAGGAACTAACTCAAACTGACAGGGAAATTATATAATTAACTTAAGCAGCAGACATTTCCATGCTTAATCTCAACGCCTAGCACCACAACGAATATTTTTGGCAGGTGATTCTCCCATCTTCGGTGTTGCAATGCATTGAGGATTGCTTCTTCTGTGTGCAAGCTTTTGAAACAGTTGACATGACACATACGTTTGCTTCTTTGGTGTTGAAGCTCTTGAAAATTTTGGCACACAGCTTCTTCTACAAAAACATTTTTTACCCATCTCTTCTACTTATTTTCTTCATAATTTGATGAATCAATATGGGGATTGCAATAAGTCTACCATGCATGTTAACTTCACTTTCTGCATTTTATCACTCTGCAAATGATACATATATGGCATGAAGGATCGTCTTAAGTACCAACTGCTATAATTTCCTTGAGTTTCAAGAGTTTCATCTGTACGTTTTGTTATATGATGATTGAATTTCATATAACAAACTCTGTTAACAAGTTTCTGTACAAAGATTGATATTGTATTTCTCTCATCAGTTCTTCATTATACCAACGCTATTTTGTATGATTATAATTATAGAATAGAGAGATTAATCAAAACATAGTAATACATATATTTCTTGAAGGAGCTTTAAACATAACTGTAGGATAGTAATAAAACCATCAGAAACCATATTAAGAAACTAATTCAATCTTATTTTATATTATTTCTATGTAATAAAAACGTCAAGCTCCTTCACAGCACAATCTTTCATTTTCCCACATTCACTTTCACAGGTTCTTCCTTTTTTATCTGAGTCTTCGGAGTTGCCTCCACGGCAGGTTTAGAAGCAACAGCCTGAGCAGGTTCATTCTTGGAGATCACCTCCGGCTTCACATCTTTTTTTGGAATGTTCACCTGAACTGGAGTACTCTGCATCTTTGGGGTACAGGCACGACTTGAATAGCTACTTCCACCACAACCACAAGAACAGCTCAATCTCTCCATTTTCTTATGCTTTTGTTGACAACTTACTTCAGAATTGATGAAAATTTCAGAAGGGAATGTTGAGTATTTATAGGAGAGCCAACGAGGCTTGTGGTATTCTTCTTCATTTAAAGTTTGATAAACCACGAGTCAATTATTCCTCAAAGTGTGTGTTCATGTACCTCGGAAGTGTACAAATGTATTATATTAATCCTAAACAGTTGATCTTCTGGCTGCCTTGATAGATTATTATTTCCATTATTCAACATTGAAGTTCTTCATTTAGACCAATCAATACTTGCTGAAACTAATCCTCTTGACACCACCTTCTATATATGTATAACTTCTACCACTTTTTCGCCTCAAATTGCATATGAAA